GGGGGCCGGGGGACCCGGGTAGGGGGTCGGGGCACCGGGCGTCCACATTCTTCGCCTTTTCTCCTCGGGCTCACTCCGACCGATCGATACCTGCGCGGGACCTGCCCCCGCCGCTAATATCTTTTTAATGAGTTCGCGGGGCTTAGAGAGAGAGCGATCTGCCCTCCAGGGTGGATTTTCCCCTGGCAGATGTTTCGGGAGGAGAAGGCGCGCGGGTCCCCCGGGAGGGGGAACAAATCTCTCCCTCCGAGGGGCGAGGCGTAAGACTTCTAAAGTTCAAAAGAAAGACGGGCTTTCACTCGGCCCCCAAAAATGTATTTCCCGGCGGACAATGGGCTCCTTTCTGCGCCTCTCAGGGCCATCAGGGCGGGAGGGGCGGGGTCCCTTGCGCCTTGGCCTCGCCTGACCGACCTGCGCCCGTTTCCACTCGAGCCACGCCGCCGAGCGAGAGCGCGGGAACCGGGAAGCCGGCCTCCGCTCCCTGAAGAGCGCTGTCCTGACCTGGGCGCACCGGCGAGAACGAAAGTGCCTGGCGAGCCGGGCCGCGGGGCCTGGGGAAACCCTGGGCTGCCCCTCACCCGGTGCCCTGAACCTTGCGGGTGAGGCCGCCGGGCCCGAAGGAGCGCGCGCGGGTGCCCCGAGGGGAGATAGGACAGGTCTCCGGGCTTGGGCCGTGGCCCCCGTTCTCTCGCGCTCCGCCCTCCGCGAGGCAACAAGTAGAAATGAGCCAGCCTCCGGCGGCCGCGGGGCACTAAATTTCTCTTCACCTGCCCAGACAAGGCCAACAACCCCTCGATGTTCCCCTGCCCTTGCCACCTCCCCCTCCCCGCGTGCCCCTCAGTCCGTGGGTCCGTCGGCCTGCCGCCACCTCCCTCTCTCCACTCTCGTGGGCGCTAGGAAAAAGGGGAGCCCGGGCTATGAGGATGACCTCCGAAGAGCCGTGGCCGATTGATTCGTTACGCCCGGAGCCCGGGCCGCGTGAATGGGGGCCTGGGCGGCGGCAGCGGCGGCGGCGGCGGGGATAAAGATGTTCTCCCCGCAAGGGGGAGGGAGCGCGGGGCGGGAAGCGGGGCCATTCACTCCTGGCCCGGCCCCTCGGGAAGCCCCGCGGAAGAAAGGGGGCCGGGGCCTATTCAAGCCCTACGAGCCTCCCACAATGGACCGATATACTGGGGGCCTCTCTATTAACGCCCATGAATATTAAAAAGATCTCGGAGCGGCGGCCCGCGGGCGCGAGGTGGGGCGGCGCCTAGGAGTTCAGGCCGGGCCTGGGCTAGAGGAGGGGGTTTGGCGCGGGCACACTCCGCGCCTGGGTTCCGCAGAAAACGACACGGTTCATCTGCGGAGAAACTCCAGAACGTGCAATTATTTCCCTCTCAGTCTCAGGCAGGGGAGATGCAAGCGCAGGGGCCTTTCTCCCCAATTCTAACAGGCCCTGAGACTGGGGCTCTCTTTATAGGTCCCCCTTTCCCTGGGGCGCGGTCGAGTGTGTCTGCGTCTAGACCAGAAGCACAAAATTTCAGTGCGCAGTGGAGACGCTTGGGGCCGACTTCGCTTCCACCCCGACCCCAGCGCCAATCCTTGGGTTTGCAAGTCCGGGAAAGGAATAGGGCTCCCCGCCATAGTCCGAGCCCTCGTCCTTTCATCTTCTGACCCCGAGCTGAGATCCAGGGCCCAAAAGCTACTCCCCAGGACAGAGGGACCACGCAGAGCTGAGTACTTCTCTCAGTGGGGTGTAACCTGCCCAGGAATGGATAAATTCTCAGGGCCCTCAAAGTGACCTGACCCGGAGAGACAAGGCGGGAAAAAAGCCTCAGTTCACAAAGTCCAACCCAAACCATTTGACACACAGGGACACCGAGGCTCAGAGAGAAGGGCCATCTCAAGGACGCACAGCAGTCCTCATGCCGACTCGGTCTCTGGGGGTCGCTGAGGATGGTTGCTGGACTTGGGAACTGATCCCGCGCGCGGTTCCTGGTGGCTCTCCCTGACGTAGTCTCCTCCGCCCCGGGGCACATTTTCCCCTCCACCAAGTGTTCGTAGAAGCCGAGGTTCAGACGCCAGTAAAGCTCCCATGCCCGGACTCTGTCCGCCCCCTCGGACGTGAACTCTCCGCTCAAGCCAGAGTCATTGTGACTCGCCGGCAGCGTCTGGAAGAAAGTTGAGGTTCCGGGACCCTAACCCACAAGCTGTGCTCGCTCCTCCGCAGCTCTGCCCTCTGCTGGCGCCAGGTCCGACGGTCGCCGTGCTGCCCAATGCAGCCTCCGCCGAGCATCAGCCTGCCGCCTTCCTTACTCTATGCCCAGATGCGGACCTCGGGATGCCAGACCACTGGCTGAAACCGGGCATGCAGAGGCTGGGTGTCCGTGGCCGCCAGGTGTGAGGCTGGCTTTGCAAAGGCCGACTTCGCGTTGGAGGAAGCCCTTTGCCAAGGGGCATGGGGACAGTGACTCCGGGCCCCCCGACCTTCCACCTAAGTCCCCTCTCTGAGGAGAAGGCCTGGGGAGTCCGATACCTCCAGCTAACCTGTGAGCCTAACGCACTGCCCTGAGAGTCCAGAAAACCTGGCTCTGTGAACGGAATCTGCGATTGTAGGCAGGGGGAGAAGGGCTGAAGAGTTCAGCAGATGGAAGAGGTGTTTCTGTGCTCCCCACCCCTTGTCTGGGACTGTAGGTGTGTAGCTTGAGGCGAAAGCTAGGAGGCAGAAAAAGCCTGCAGGAAGCAGTGGCCTTCCCGCTTTGGCTCCGGGCTCAGCAGCTCCCTGTCTCCGGAGAGAAATTACGCTGGTGATCAGGATGCCTTGGAACCTCCGTGAAGAAAGGCTATTGGTGGGATGAGGTTGAGAGGGGTAGGGGTGGGAAAGCAAGAAGTGAGGAAGGGAGAGAAGAGAGAGGCCAAAAGAAAAGGAGCTAGGAGGCAAGAAGGGAGGAGTGCGGGCTGCGGCGGGCTTCCTAGGTCGCAGTTGAGCGAAGGAGCCTGGAGGCCCGAGCCTCCAGCCCAGCGCGCACGGCGGACTGGCCCGTGGCTGCCTGCAGATTCGGAGGACTTCCACTCCCGGACGCCGCTGCTCCCACTCGCGACGGTCCAGGGACCCCTTTCGATCCGCCCTGAATTCGGCAAGAAAGCCTTTCCCGAGAGAGCCGCAGCTAGCGCGGATTTTGGGCCACTCTTCCCGACCCTGACTTAGCCCCCCTAGGACCGGGAGCCTGGAGCCCAAGAAGTCTTCTCAGGCCAGGCTCAGCCCCGACGGCGGCCTCAGCCCCGCCCCGGCAGCCCTCTCCTCCGGGGAGGAGTTTCACAGCCGGCAGCGGGCAGCCGGCCGGGCGGTTGC